GCCCTCTGACCCCACCCTGTCCTGTGCTTGCCCCCGCTGCAGGTGAGCGAGAGGATGCTGGCGGGGGGCGCGAGGAGCGTGCCCAGCCCCCTCCCGGCCTGCTGGCAGCCCGTCCTCCTGCTGGTGCTGGGCTCGGTGCTGTCAGGCTCGGCCACGGGCTGCCCGCCGCGCTGCGAGTGCTCGGCCCAGGACCGCGCCGTGCTGTGCCACCGCAAGCGCTTCGTGGCGGTGCCCGAGGGCATCCCCACCGAGACGCGCCTGCTGGACCTGGGCAAGAACCGCATCAAGACGCTCAACCAGGACGAGTTCGCCAGCTTCCCGCTCCTGGAGGAGCTGGAGCTGAACGAGAACGTGGTGAGCGCCGTGGAGCCCGGCGCCTTCAACAACCTGCTCCACCTGCGCACGCTGGGCCTGCGCAGCAACCGCCTGAAGCTCATCCCGCTGGGCGTCTTCACCGGCCTCAGCAACCTGACCCGGCTGGACATCAGCGAGAACAAGATCGTCATCCTGCTGGACTACATGTTCCAGGACCTGTACAACCTCAAGGCGCTGGAGGTCGGCGACAACGACCTGGTCTACATCTCCCACCGCGCCTTCAGCGGCCTCAACAGCCTGGAGCAGCTGACGCTGGAGAAGTGCAACCTGACCTCCATCCCCACGGAGGCGCTGTCGCACCTGCACGGCCTCATCGTGCTGCGGCTGCGGCACCTGAACATCAACGCCGTCCGGGACTACTCCTTCAAGCGGCTCTACCGCCTCAAGGTCCTGGAGATCTCCCACTGGCCCTACCTGGACACCATGACGCCCAACTGCCTGTACGGCCTCAACCTGACGTCGCTGTCCGTCACGCACTGCAACCTGACGGCCGTGCCCTACCTGGCCGTGCGCCACCTGGTCTACCTGCGCTTCCTCAACCTCTCCTACAACCCCATCGGCGCCATCGAGGGCTCCATGCTGCATGAGCTGCTGCGGCTGCAGGAGCTGCAGCTGGTGGGCGGGCAGCTGGCCGTGGTGGAGCCCTACGCCTTCCGCGGCCTCAACCACCTGCGCGTGCTCAACGTCTCGGGCAACCAGCTGACCACGCTGGAGGAGGCGGCCTTCCACTCGGTGGGCAACCTGGAGACGCTCATCCTGGACGCCAACCCGCTGGCCTGCGACTGCCGGCTGCTGTGGGTGTTCCGGCGCCGCTGGCG